ACTTGTCGTCCAAACTGGGATCCCCTAGAGTCACAATCTAGTCAGGCTAGAGCCTCCCATAGAGAGGGCCTCAAATCCACTGCCATCAACTCATTTCTGGCCAACACTTGCGGGGGTAGAAAACCTCATCTTTCTCCCATCAAGTGGCTGGTGGTTTTGAACTGCCCGTCTTACAGCTAGTAGCCCAGTGCTTAACCCACTATGCCTCTGGAACAGAGGTACAGAGAGGGCCATGGCTGAGTGATTAAACAAGAGTGAACGCAAAAACAAAAAATAAGGTCAGGCAAGGTAATCAACGTGGAGCCTGCTCCATCTGCAAAGTGGCAATTTTAGTGGTTAACATGCTAGACTTGAACCTGAGCCGAGACATTCACTAGTGTGTAAGTACTTTATTTATCTTCTGTTTTCTGTTGGTGAAATGACGATAAAATGAAGGCCCCTGTGAGTCAGAGCTGGCTTGATGGCAGTGAGGGTTTTTTTTTGTTTAAAATGAGGATTAAACTGAGGTAACACACTAAAAGTAGAAAAGTGTCTGAGACACGGAAGGTGATCAGAATGTATCCTTAGTCCTGTGAGGGTTTAAATGGAGGAAATAGGGTGGTAACATGTCTAGCTCAAAGCTAGTCCGCTCCTTGCAGGTACTGACCATCCCTCAGGTGCCACAGAAGGAATGATTGTTCCCGGCCCCATTGGAGTGTGATGGTTTCTGCAAAGGGAGTCATGGGCCCTTTATGAGTCAGGAAGGACCAGGGTGAAGAGGGACCCCTGAGAGTTGGTTTCTGGGGATCCAGCATCAGGATGGAGAGAGAGTCCAGTGTTGGGGACTGGATACTCTCCTCTAGCTAGGTGGAATAGGGCTTCCTTCCCCTCCTGTTGGCAGCTCTGGCCCAGGTGATCTGAAGCAGTGGATCTCTCTCCTTGCTAGCTGCCCTTACCAGGGCTAAACAGGAACCAATCTGCTAGGGTGAGCAAAGCTTGGGAAGGGGCACCCACGTAACCAGCTCTTTGTTTCAGAGAGAATAGAGGTGGGCAGGAGTGGGGCTGGGGAATAAAAGCCTGTTGAATCAATTGTCTATTCTTTCAACAGGTAAGGTGACAGGTGACTAGTCCTACGGACCACACCTAGGTGTGTAGGGATCACAGTCGGGATTAGTGGGTAGACCAGGGCTGGAGATTAAAGGGAGAGCCGAGGGGTCTGGATACCCATTCGCTGGGAGGAGCCAGCAGAGGATTTGGGTGCTGCTTCCTCCCCAAGTTCCGCCTCCGAGCACGCCGGCCCCGCCCTCTTCGTCCCGATCGGGCCCCGCCGCTCGCCCTGGGCCGGCGGGGGCTGCCGGGGCTCGGGGGCTCCGGGCTAGCGCCGGTGCCGCCGCCTCCCCGCCTCCTCCAGGGTGAGTATGTGGATGGGTGCTCCGGAATGGCGAGCCCACCGAAGGGAGCTCGGCCACGCGGTTAGGCCTTGGCAGAGCCGGGCCCCTAGCGCTGAGGTGCTGCTACCTGCCCGCTCGTTCTGATGCGCTGGATCCAGGAGCTAACTGTCTCCTTCGCTCCCCTCCTCCACCGCGGGCTCTGGGTGCAGGGACTGCACTCTCTCCGCTCGACTGCTTCCCTCCACGCGGCATTCAGGCCAGGATTCCTCCTCCGTTTGGAGGATGGAGGTGTGGGACCCAAGGAAAGTCACTGACCGGTTTCGAACCGCCCGTGCCCTTGAGCAAGTGCTTTAACTTCCTTGCGCCTCCGTTTCCTCCTCTGTAAAATAGAAGCATACAGGCTTTAGTGCCTAACTCATGCAGGGTACTCAGAAACCAGTCAGTGGATTCCAACACATGGCTTATCCCGTGTGTATCAGAGCAGAACTATGCTTCCTGGGGTTTCAGTGGCTTCCCCACCCCCCAGGAATAGATAGCCAGGGCTGTCTGCAAAGTGCCATTGATTGGACTTAAACTGCCAACCTTTTGGTCAGCAGTGGAAACAACCCTTTGGACCACCCCTAAGAATGGATGTGGGCTAGAGATTAACAAAGTCTCTAGCGACCTTTGGATATGAGGTAGAGGTACTTATAAGAAAGCTGCAGCTAAATGTTATGTGTGAGGTAGTGAGCACTGACCAGTGAACAACTGCCCATTGGTAGTAAGCTCCCTGCCCTGAGATCTGCAGGACCAGAAAGAAATTGGAAGGATTTTAGAAGTGATCCAAGCCATGATTCCCATGCTGCACAACTATGGAAACAGCCCTAGAGTAGTTAGGGGACTTGCCCAGGGCCACACACCTAAAAGGGAAGGATTTGCCCACTGACCTCCAGGAGGGATTGGGTGATGAGGATTAAGGATGTGGGGATGGCATCTGTTTGTGGATGATCCATGGACATGTGTTTTATCTGGGAGGGTCATCAGAGCCATCCAGACTCTCGTACTCCCTGGGAGTTGCCTGACACCCCACCCATTACCCCCCTAAAAGGAGAGAGGATAGTGAGCCACTGGGACAGTCTACCTGCTCCTGTCCTGTCTGGCAAAGAGGTGAGTTGGGGAAGTGGGTGAAAATCCCGAGCCATATCTGCCTGGCTGGTTCCAGAAGGCCTAGGAATGCCTAGAGGATTGTTTGGCGTAAGGTCAGAAGGAAGAGTCAGGCTAGGGTGTGGCTAGGAAGAGTTTGGGCTTGATGTGGCAAGGTCCTAGAGCCCAGAGAGGTGAGTTGTTTGTGTACATTGAGCCAGGCCTAGCTTGGGCAACAAAAAGCCTAAATTCCAGGGATAGTTTCCCTCCAGCACAGGCTTTTGAAGGAGGAAGGGCCTTTCTCTCAATGTCTGGGCTTCTTATCTTTACAGTGCACCAAGGCTGACTGACTCATCAATTTAGGATTTGCTTTTCACCCTTCTTCCTCCTATGGCTAGGTACTCATTTCTACCCAAGGACTCTGACCCAATGAGGGAGGAGTCAAGCAAGGCCAGGTATGTGTGACTCATGAGCCTCATCTTCCCAGGATGGGCTCTTCTATTTGCTGTGACTCCAGCCATTTTGCAGGCCTCAGTTGCCTCTCCCAGTCACTGAAAGGTGAATGGGTTAGGATTATTGTTATGTATTTAGCTACTACAATTCCTGACCTGAGATGTCCATGTATGATGAGGGAGTCACAGTCCTCAGGAGTCCTCACTTAGATGCTGGTAGTGTGATGGACAGGCCCTGGGCACCAGGAAGCCTCCAGAAGCTGACCAAGCAGCTCTCCCCAACAAACAAGCCCAGGCTAGTGCCAGGCCTGATTCTGCAAAGCCTTTTACCCTCAGAACACGTGAGGCAACAGGCAGAGACAGGCTGGGCGCTGAGGTTCTGTCCTTTTCCATGGAGCCCTGCTGCCGTGGATTGTGATGTAGACACACTGTACACAGAGCCTGGGAAGGGACGAAAGGTGAAAGAGGGCTGTGGGCCAGTGGGTGAAGCACAGAGCTGAGGAGAGGCCCTGAGCCCTGGAAGCTGGGTCTGTGGCTCAAACACTTGGGGGAAGAAATGGACCATTCTGTCTATGGTTAGGTTTTAAGGTTGGTTTCTGAAATAAGAAGAGACTAGCTAAGCCAGCTCTTACAGACTGTCAAGCCAGCCACAGGCGTAAGATCTCCCAACCTGTTCAAGCTTCTTCCTAGCATAGATTTGGTCCATTTTCTTCCTTCTGAAATTGAGGGTGAATGTCTTCTTGGGATTCCAAGTCATTCTTCCTCATCTAGGCCAGGAGCTGTTTGGGACTAGGTTGTGTATCTTCCTCATACTCCCCACCTCGTTGCACATCCAAGAGCTGACCTCCGACCCTGGGGCACTGATAGCATGCCACTCCATTCCCAGGTCTGACAAGATGTACCAGGTCCCACTGCCACTGGACCGAGATGGGACCCTGGTCCGGCTCCGCTTCACCCTGGTGGCCCTGGTCACAGTCTGCTGTCCACTTGTCGCCTTCCTCTTCTGCGTCCTCTGGTCCCTGCTCTTCCACTTCAAGGAGACAACGGCCACACACTGTGGGGTAGGGCTTGGGGGATACTGATACCTTATACCAAGTTCATCTAGATCTTTTCGGGATACTGATTCTTTTGTCACAGGATTAGTTAGCTCTGCACTGGGGTCCAACAAGCTTCCTGGGCTGCTGAGGGGATGCCTGCAAGCTGAGGTCTCAATGATTGGCTTCTTTCCATCTTCCGTGTTAGCCATTGGGGACTGGGATCACTGAAACTGGACAACCCTAGGATCCAGAACTCAATCCCTACTTCATGGTGGTGCAGATTCAGAAGCCCCACGGTTTTCTAGGGGGTGGGAGAGGAAATTTTGGTCCCCTTAGTGCGGCACTGTGGGTTTGTGCCTGTCTGTGCAGCAGACGACTATATTTAATGTCTGTGTGGGGTATGT